GCAATAAAACCTACTAGAAAATAATTTTCTATATAGTAATATGTGATCATTTTATTAACAAACGACGCGTACCAGGCTATTGATATGAAATAGGGAACCAGTTGATATAATTTTGAAGCTGATAAAATAAAAATACGTTAATTTTGTGTCGAGAGTAATACACTACTTATTAAGCTAATAACGCTTCGCGTTATGAGGCATGTAATATTTGTAAGAAATAAAACAGGTTTCCTATAATTTCAAGTTTATTTAAAATAAAATGCCTGTAGTTATTGGCAATACACTATAAAACCTGTAGTAGACTATGATGTTATATTTGTAACATCACCAAAGAAATTTGAAATATACACATATTTATATTATGACAAAGATTATGAGTCTTTGGCAAACATATTTTAGGAATTACAGAAATTGCAGTATAAGTACCTATATTATACAATCTGCATCACTATAACTTGAAAGGTACAGGGGCAAAACAAGGAATGTTACAAAAAATTAAAATATGAATTAAGTCTAGCAACACTTATGTTTTCGTACGTATTTCTATATTTCTATGTAGCATTATGTAAAATGCATAAACACAATCACAGACCTTCATATCTTCAATATTTCAACACTGCAAAACTGGGAATGTCCCTTGTAAAACGGAAGTTAACATGGTATGTCCAACTGTCAATGTCAGATCAGATGAAGAGAGGTTATGTTTTGTTGTGATAATGTGATTGCCTTCTCGGTGTAGTTCAAAGACGTATTAAAAAAGATAGACAGGTTACACACTAACATTATTGTATTTTAAAGTGGTGCAGGTAGTACTATATCTACGTACAGTTATTTATTATGACACGTTGCGCTAACAAAAAGAGACAAATGATACGGCACACCTATCGTAAGAAAAAGATGAATATACATCATTAGTTGCGTATTTAGAGCTGCTGAGCGCTCATTGGTGCGAGCACGTGACATACCGATATGGAAATGAACATACTAGCTAGCGTCAAAGTTTACACTAGCGGTTAGTGTTGAAATAATAAAACCAATTATGAACAAAACGTCTATATTCAAAATATTAAAGAGACGTTTTTCTTGTCTCTTATACAGTTGCCGTGTAATTTGTGCATCACCTAAAAACACAGGAAGACATTTTTACCAAGAATAACTAGAAGATTTACGCGCTGTCGCGAAACTATAGCCACGACGCGAGAGCGTGCCCGACTGCCCGACTGAATGCGAGTCGGGCAATTACCTGACTTTCATACTGCCATTTTAGAGCGAGTATGACGTATCTATACTTTAAAAACATCTTAGGTGTATTTTCAATTTATATTTTTCTGTCGATTTGTGAAAAAAAAATAATGAAAGCGATGAAGATATTAATCAGAATTGAGTAAAAGAAACGTAAAAGAGAAAAAGAGAGGAAGAATACATGGTCATGAAAAAAGTTGAGACTAACTACCCACGGGTCAGGTGAGGATTGTAGGTGTTCAAAACTTAAGTGTTTTGAAAAAATTTCATCAGAAAATCGTGTTAAATTGTTAAGAGAATTTAATAACTTAAAGTCTACAGATGAGCAAAATATTCTTATGTGGATTAATAAATGTTTATTCAATAAAAAGGTGTAGTAGGAAAAGTGAAATGGATGCCAATTTTCACCAAAACTATTTCATTTACAAAGTATGAGTAAAAGAAGATGATCAGATGTAAGAAGTACCTGTATGCTACAAGGCTTTTTATCTATTTTTGGTATAACTAAAGGAAAACTTGAACACCTACAAAAGTCTTTGAGAGAGACAGGTAGTGCACCAAATGACAGAAGGGGAAAAACAAGTTCTCACAAAAAATTGGATATGAAGACAAAACAATTAATATGTACTCATATAAAATCATTTAAAGGAATGCAAAGTCACTATAGTATGAAAGATACCAAGAAAGAATTTAGAATATTAAATGCATAACTTATATTTGGATGCATACCCTGAGAATTTTTCCTATGAAACAACATACAGGAACATCTTTAACACTGAATTTAACATATCATTTGGTTATAACCGCATCAATATTTGTAGTGCTTGTGATGAATTTACAATTAAGGCAAACGCATTGATGGCTGAAAGAAATGAGGATGAGCTAAAAATATTAACTTTTCTTAACAATTTGCATAAAAAAAAGCCCAAATGTTTTATGATAGAAAGAAGAGTAACAGATATTGAATTTCAGGCTATTGCTTATGGACTACAAAAAAAAATATGTGCCACTACCTAACATCACTACAAATGATGTTTATTACAAACAACAGTTATCAATGTATTTATTTAACATACATGTGCTAAGTGATGCTAGTTACTTTTTTTTCACTTATCCTGAGACTTGTGGCTGCAAGGGTTCAGATGAAGTGGTTTCATTTTTATTTCACTTTTTAAAGAACCATTTAGAATTTAGATCATCTCTGCAGGACAAAACAAGAACTATACTGTGACAACGTTTATTCATTTTTTGATCCATGTAATGAAATTTTTGGACTCCATTAAAATAACATACCCCATCAGAGTACATTCATATTTAGAATGCGATAAGAATATGGACCTGATAAATTTAAAAACTCACATGGAAGTCCTAATCATAGTATCAATGGAATAACTTGCTAAAAATAAATCGCCAAAGACCAAAACCCTTAGAAGTTATTGTAGTGGGTAAGGGTGAAATTATAAGGAAAGTCAAAAATTTTTTTTAGAATCAGTACATTAAAAAAGTGCTCTTTTCCAATGCAGGTCAAAGAGAAATAATGTTCATTCTTCATCGAGTCAACTATAATGGTTTGTGGAAGAAGTCACCCATATTTAATAAGAGAAGAACAAATTAACTGGAATATAGCAATGAATTTGAATTGTCTGAATTTGCCTACCAAGATTAGTTGCCAATAAGTGCAGACAAGCACAAGGACCTTATGGACTTAAAAAGATTTTATACTGTTTACTTGTTTTGTTTAGATTTGGACATTCCCTGTATGGATTCTAAAGGACATTCCATGTTTTAGTACTTTATAAAAGTTAATTACTTTTTTTTTTCAAATTTTAAACATTTGATATTATTTGCCAAAAGTTTATTTGTATTCCATGTTTTAGTACTTTATAAAAGTTAAAACTTTTTTTTTTAATTTTACACATTTTTTAATATTTGCCAAAAGTTTATTTGTATCCACAGCTGATCTATGTAAGGTAAACTAAAGTTCCTATTAGTAGTTTCTAAACAATTTATATGTAAGACAAAGTTACAAGTTATAAACTTTCAAACATTAAAATGTTAATTACAAGAAACCTGTTTTAGTGACACTTCTTTTGTCCCTGTATCCTTCACTCAAAAAGTAGTCTGTTATATTTTTAACAAATTATAGCTTACTATTGTGACAAAAATGTCTTTCCAAAAATAAAGTGCTATCTTCTTTTGTCCTAAAATAATCTAATGTCTCACGACGTCTAACTTCCAGGTTTAGCTATCAATTTTAAGAATTTAAAAAAAAAACGAGTCAATTATTTGTAATTTCCCTACTAAGTGGGGTGGTGAAGTGAAAAATACTTTCAATTAAAATTATAAACAAACATTTAAACTTTAGAAAACATTAGACTAACTTTGCACATTTTACTTGTACACCAGCATAATGTGCTTGACTTTTTACAATGTATATCTAGGTATATGATAAAGGTAACTATAATCATCCAAGCCATCTTTCCATAAAGTCCATTTGTCTATATGTTTATAAATCTATTTTAGTTCGAAAACTATTTAATTTCCTTTGAAATTTTTGTTTTACTTAATTTAAAGTCGTAAAATAAGCCAAATGTTATAAGTAAAGATATACATGAACACATTAACTATTTAAATATATCTACATATTTCGTATTTGAGAATGCTACCGTAATGAAAGTTAGTATTTGTATTTTGTTTTATATACAGTCAACTTGGGTAACTTTGAATTTCAATGTAACTTTGAATAAAACCCTACTAACAATTAAATATTTTTTTACAACTGTACCAGAATATCCAAGTAGGGAAGTATCACGTAAAACGGAACGGCGTAATGTATAGACTATCTTTAATAAAAAAATTGCTCTTGTCAATGTCAGTTTGTATTTTGGCGCGTCTAAGAAAACAAGGTCTGTCTGCAAAGAAGTTTGTTGGTGAATTTCAAATAAGTTGTTTTTAAAGATATCGTAGCTGAAGGGGGTAAGTTTTGTGTTTAACATTACTGCCATAGTTTTTACTTAAAATTTCGTCAATTAACATATAATTTATTAACTCATTTACACTTAAATGTGTTTATCATTTGATTCAAAAAATAATTACAATTTTTGGGTAACATTGAACGATTCAATGTTACCCTGAAACATTTTTTTTTGATAGGGTAACTTTGAATGTTTTGCTACCAAAAGTTAAAATCTTATGAACATAATTGTTTTTTATTTAAAGGTGCAATGCCTCGAAAATCCTCTCAAATAAAGCCTGGTGTTAGAAAATATGGTACTAAAAGCAACTATACTCCGGAGCAATTGGAAGAGGCACTCAGTAAAATTCGGTCAGGTGCCATGTCAAGGGTGGATGCATCGAAGCATTATAAAATACCACCTGTAACATTATATTATAAATTAAATGATAAACATACCAAAAATATCGGAAGACCATTAGACATTTACCGCAGAAGAGGAAGAGAGTTTTCAAAATCATTTATTATTGTTGAGTGATGTAGGTTTACCGTTGAGTATGTTAGATTTCAGGGTTATCATTAGAGATTATCTAAATAAAAACAGCAGGATTGTGCCTCAATTCAGAGACAATATGCCTGGTTATGAATGGGGCACATTATTTTTAGAAAGACACCCTTTACTGAAGGAGAAACTATCTCATAATATCCCAAAAAAAGAGCCCAAGTCAATCGTGAGCAAGTTAAACAATTTTTTAATAATTTTTCTAAAGAAAGTGAAGGCGTTACTCCACAAAATTTATATAATATGGACGAGTCAGGATTTCACGATGATCCCGGGAAAAAGAAATTGTTGTTTCGTAGAGATTGCAAGCACCCTGACGTAATAAAAAACAGCTCTAAATCCTGTTTTACCATAGTCTTCTGTGGAAATGCAGCAGGTGAGCTTATACCACCATTTTTTATTTTTAAAGGGGTGAAACTTTGGTCTGATTGGCTATATCAAGCTCCTGAGAGTTCCAGAATGGCAATCTCAAAATCAGGATGGATGGAGACAACAATTTTTGAAGATTGGTTAGAAAACCAATTCATTCCATTCGTGAAAAAAGATGAGGGTAAAAAAATATTAATGTGTGATAATTTAAGTGCGCACATATCTCCTAAAGCACTGCGCTTATGTGCTGAAAACAATATTGCATTCATTTGTTTGATTCCTAACTCGACACATCTTCTTCAACCCCTTGATGTAGGCTATTTTTCGGCAGTCAAGTCAGCTTGGCGAAAAGTTCTTAATGATTATCGTCAAACCTGCAGAGGCAAGAAAGTCTTGGCTCTTCCTAAGTCATTATTCGCCCAGTTAATTAAAAGAACTTTGCAAAATGGAAATGCCAATTCATCTGAAAATCTACGAGCAGGATTTAAAAGTTGTGGTTTGTATCCGTTGTCCCCAGCGACTGTGTTAAACAAACTTCCAGCATATACCTCTACTGTGGACATAAGCGACACTATTAGTGAAAGTTTTGTTAATTATATAGAGAATGTGAGACAATCGGATCTGAATACAGTGACGAAAGGAAAGAAATTTCAATTACCTGTAGTAGCAGGGAAGAGTGTTTCGGCCGAAGAAGTAGAAAATTATTATAAAGAAAGGGAAAAAACAGACAAAACCAAGAGAGGAAATGAAGTGGAAACCAGGCAGTCTAAAAAACGTGGCAGGCCCATGGGGTCGAAAAACAAGAACAAGAAAAAACCAGGGGATCCTACTCCTTCTGGAGAAGTATGGTCAACAGAAAATGAGAATGAAAACAATGAGGTTGTTGATGCTGTTAAACATGGTGAAGAATGTGATGAAAATGAACTTATGTCACAAAATGTTGGAGGATACGCCGAGTTCGTCGTCGAGGCTATGATACACAAACCACCTTCTCCAGAAGTAGCTAAAGGTTTATATAAAATGCTCAACATGGGTGTTAATTTATCTACGCCACAAGAACAGGAGTTTGAGCCACCGGTCATAACAATCCCAGGAGATAATATAATTGGTGAGTCGGAAGAACAAATACAGTGGGAAGATAAGGATTTGCCTATTGTAGAAGAATATGTTGTGGAACCCATCAGTGATTTAACACCCTCTGAACAAAATAATTCTTGTAGAGGCTTGGTGAAAGATGCGTATTGTATTTTTAATAATGAGGGGAGCATGTTCCTAGGACAAATACGAAAACTAAACTTGTCGACCGCGACTGTCATGGTTTCAGCTTTCCAAAAATCCTTTTTAGGAGGTTGGAAGTGGCCTTCAAAAGCCGAGATATTAAAAGTAAAAATATCGGATATCGTCAGCATAGTAAAAGACGATCAAATTACTAAGAAAAATGGTATAACATATGTAGAAGATGATATTTTATTAATGGAGTGGGGAGAGTAAGATTTTTGTGAGGAAAGTATTTATATAAATTTCTTCCTAACATAAAAATTTTTATATCTCAAATGAAAGCCAAACTATTATAGTATTTTAATAAGAATTTCAATTAATTAATTTAAGTTAATAAATACAGTTATAAATGTACAAAAAATTTTGTTTTTGTGTTACATTTTGGTACATTCAGTTCGTATATGGCGTCCCCAAGTGATAAGAGAGAAAAAAATATTGCAAATGACTGGCCATAGAGCATAATTTTATTTTCTCAGTAAAAACACCATTTAATTTTACCCAAACTTCAAATAAATCCAAAATTATATGTTTTAGTCTTCAGAAATAATAAGAGTTCAAAGTTACCCTAATTTCATGATAACTTTGAATGGTATCTCAATCGTCAATTTTGGGAATATTTATGCGTATTTTAATTAATCTGAGCATTATAATTCGTAAATAACACTAATAGAACACAGTTAACGAAATAAAATCAATCTACTCTCATACAATTTTATTACTCTGTTTGTCAAAATGTATAAAAACTGTTCAAAGTTACCCAAGTTGACTGTACCAACTTTATAATGCAGAATGACAACAACCGGAGCGGATGACGGCTGGTCGCAAGTCGGTGCGATATATCGCAATGACTTGCGGCCCGCCGCCTCACGGTCAGTCGCTAGTGCGTTCTTGCTCTAAATATTTTTAATTCTGTTTATTAAGATCTTACGTAAAAAAAAATTATATTGTGATAAAGCGAAGGAATATCACTCTCAATAGCTAAATTCTTTATCAAGTAAAAAGTGGTGAAACCTAATGTTTTATGTATATACCATAATATTTTTATAAATTTATTAAGGTATGTACACAATATATTATAATTAAAAATAAACATATAACATTTTTTATGTGGCAATATATGTATAGTCAGTAAATACCATGCCTAACTTAAAAGAGCAATTGAACAATTTTAATCTTAAAAATAAATAACAAAATGGTTTAAAGTTGGCAAAGGATTTTTTTACTTTATTTATTATGGCATTGGCTACAAGGCCTTCGACCAAACAGAATACATCAAGTGATGTAATGCATTATCTAAAATAAAAAATAAGTAATTTTTTACAATAAGTAAAAGCTTCCTGCAAAATTTTGATGACAGTTGAAGCATGATATATGCGATGATATTATCTCAAGGTTCCAAAGTGAACATGTGTCTTGAAGATTATATCACCATCATCAATTACATTAATTGTTTACATGCTAACCAAAACCCTCTAGAAACTTTTATTGGAACAACAATATATGTATCGGCTGGTGGCATGTGATGTATTAGTTCATGTGCAGTCGAGTTTCTATTTTCTGATAAAACTCGTTGGCAAAGGAGTTTGCACTATAGATAATATCATCTTTTTCTTTAACTTAAAAGTGACAACTTTCTAGAAAAAATATATAATCTTCGATTAAGTGATTTTAAGGAATGACAATATACAAGTAACACTAAATAACTATAAATTTACACAATTAACATAAAACAATATATAACATGCCTGTTTTATACAATAAAAACAGAAAAATATAAAAATCAAATATAACATAACAAGAACATGACTTTATGTAAAGTTTCCACATTCTGTAATATAACATAATTATCAAAATATGTGAAATTATACAGTAAAGCATGGATTCAATAAATTATTGCACAGTCACTCATTTATATAAGTATTTCCTTTCTTCTAGTAAGTGTGATTTGGAATTTTGCTACAATGCTTTGAATAATTTATTATAGCCAGCAATATTTTTAACATGAATAATAATGAACCAATACTAATTACTTACATCTAAATGGTCGGTCAATGAGTTTGTGCAGATAATGAAATTATGGAATTATCACATCAATTTTAATAAATTCGGATATGAATATTTGAGTCACAATTATGAGAACACATCAATAGGGCGTGGTGAGACTGTGGCCAAATTGGAGTGAGTGGGACTTGCTAATGGGTCCATGTGAGATTCAATCCTTCTAGCTTCAATTGTCGCCTGTTTCACAGCTTCTTTATATGGACCTCTTTTTTTCTTGTTAAAACGAATCTGAAAAGCAATATAATATACATTATATACATTTTATTGTAGTAAGTCACAAATCAGTATACCTGATCCTGACCTGTAAACAGGTGATGTAGCCCATAGACACCTTATTCTATTCTCAGGCACAAAATGCGAATTTAATGTCACTTCTGAGGATTAAAATTGAATGCCTTGTTTAAATGATTATTTGAAATTTAGATGAACTAAGATAAAGAAGGCCCTCATGGGGCAATCAACAGAAATATATTATAATAAATTTTTATATCATATCTTAAGCCTTCTCTAAGAGAACATTGAAATGTTTATGACTTAACTATTGTCAGTCTCAGACAAAAGAAAGCTGCTGAAGAAATCACAGCTGCCAGACTATGCCAGCCATCTACGCAGGACAGTATTACAGTGCCTGAGTGTATGCACAAATACAGCTGCACTTTTTATTCCCTCACTCTCATAGTCCGATGGGACATGCTGAGGCAAAGCAACCGTGGTGGGGTAAAGAACTAGATAGAAAACGTAAGAAGGTAATAAAAGCCCTAAATAGGGCCATGAATACCTCAATAGATGAAGACTGGCTACTATACAAGAAAGCCAAGTACGAATACAAAAAATGTATTCAGGTATCGACGCTCGACAGGGTGGCGTAAATTCCGTGGTAACATAGAAACCTGTGACTAAGCGAATCGGATAAGGAAAATCCTAGCTAAACAGAACACGTCGGGATCCATCTCTCTAAAGAAACCAGACGGAAGCTACTCAACATCGCCGGATGAAACCCAACGCATCCTAATTGAAACACACTTCCTAGGTTGTGGAATGAAGATACACTTACACTAATAGCAGAAGACGAATTTAGCACAGAGAGTGGTAACGATGGATAAAATCTATTGGGCCATTCACAGTTTCCTACCCTGCGCCTCAGGCGGCAGGACCTGACGGCATATTCCTGGCACAGTGGGGGTAAAAGGCCCTGATTGACTGGATAGCAAACATGCTCAGTACACAAACAATAAAGATTGCTGGTGAATCTCAAACAATCCAGCTTAAGAAAGACTGCCCACAGGGTGGGGATCTTTCACCTCTCCTGTGGAATATGGTCTTTAATGAACTCAGCAAATTAAATGCCAATCACTTCTACACACTAGGTTATGCAGAGGACCTGACAATACTGGTCTCTGTAAAGACAGCAAGCATGGTGTGTGACCTGACACAAGTGGCTCTCCGAATAGTGGAGAGATGGTGCAGGGAAGTTAATCCAAATAAAACAGTCTTAGTAATGTTCACACAAAAACGAGTGCTGATTAACTATCATCTCCCAAGTCTTTTCAGCACAAAACTTCAGCTATCCTCTGAGGTAAAATATTTAGGTCTTACCTTGGACAGTAAACTCAACTGGAATAAACACATAGAAAACAAAATCAACAAAGCTAGTATATCTTTCTGGCAATGCAAAAACATGATTGGCAAAAGATGGGGTCTGACGCCAAAAATTATACTGTGGCTGTACAAAACTGTAATTCCGCCCATGATCACATACGGCGCTCTGGTATGGTGGATCAAAAAAAATGAAGCCACCACTATAAAGAAGCTTCAGCGTTACCAGAGACTGGCATGTACGGCTGCCACAGGCTGCATAAGGACTACACCAACAGCAGCCTTAGAAGCGATGCTGGAGTTAACCCCGCTTCATCTACACATACAACAAGAAGCAACTTTAGCTGCCATTAGACTCAAAGACCCTAAATCTTTGGAGTAAGAGTAGAGTCCCTCATACTTAAAAATTCCTATCTTACAAGCCAAGTACAATAAGATCCCTAAACAATTTGTATTCAATAAGAAGGATAAGATACAATTAAATGAAACCAGCCAGCCGGAGGGGTTAAGCCCAAAAGAGCTTAGTTTTCACCGATGGTTCTAAAACAAATGTAGGTGTAGGATCTGGAACTTTCTGTGAAGATCTCAATATCCACATATGTACACCGCTGGATACCTACAACACAGTCTTTTAGGCGGAATGTATGGTACTGACTGACAGTAGGGCGGTACTACAAACTCCGAGTTGCAATGTGGTGAACTCAGGACTAATATATGAATGCCATCAACGATTAAATGAGGTATGTAAACACAACCATGTGACTACAATGGATAAAGCGACACAGCGGATCCAGAGGCAACTATGTAGCAGACGAACTGGCCAGAAGAGGATCGGCTCTGGCCACTATAGGGCCGGAACGAATCATACCAATCCCCTTTGCTAATGTTTAATCACTGATATGTAGACACTTCACTAATCAACACGCTCAGCTTTGGAAAAATCTAGTAGACTGTAGACAAGCTAGGGAGGCCCTGCCTGAAATAAACAGTTGTTTTTAACCAAGGTTCTAATGAGACTAAACAAGCCGCAGATCAGGCTAGTAACAAGTGTATCACAGGACATGGCACCTTTAACAAACATTTATTTACCATAGGTGTTACAGATAGTCCCCTGGGCAGGGCATGTATGGGGGAGGAAGAAACGGCGCTCCACGCGTTGCTCACATGTCCGGAGGTCGCTGCATACAGGGCTAAACATCTCAGCATGCCAGAATCACTCCCTGAAGTTGCTTGCAACATGAAAGGACTGTTGAACTTCTTCGGGGAGATTTCATGGCTCGAATAATCACATTATTCCTGCCCACACGTGAAATACGCGCTTAGACGTGGAGTTGCGGAAAACAGGCCGTCATTAATTAACTAACTAACTAACTAGTCCGATGGAACGGTAATCCGACACCACTGGAAAGAGATCAGAAGGAGGACCAACGGCTTTACGTGCTTTCCGAGGCTCGGCGGTAATATACCCTGACTTTAGGTTGCTATTTCTTGACAGAAAAACTCAATAACTGTTTTTTGACCCGACCGTTTTGTTGTTTGATTCGAACTTAGGACCTCATGATCAGCAGCAGTGTTTATGACCAGTAGATCAATAAGGCAATAATTTAAAATCATTTGGAATCACATGGTTGTAGGTGCATATGTGAGCATCCAACAGTGAACTTTTACAGGCTTATAAACAAAGAAAGAAGATTTGTGTGCAAGTGCATGTCAAGAAGTTGAGCATCTTTTTTTAGTTGATGTACCTTGGTATGGTAGTACGCTTATTATTATCAGATTATAATAGGTCGGGGAAAAAGTTTCTTTGTGGATTGTTTGGTAAGGTATTATTATTCAGTATTGCCTGTTGTCCAAATTGCCCTTTGTGAGAGAACAACGCTTGGTATTTGTTTGCAAAATTTTTATTTAATTCTTCCCATGCAGGAAAGGCAACAATATCTTACAGCTATTAACGTGATATAAATGGTTTCATTTAATTCTTTTTTTTTATTTTTTTTTATGGAATATGGGTGACAAACGAGCACACAGTCTACCTGATGGTAAGTGGTTGCTGCAACCCATAGACATCTACATCTATCCTCTATTACAAATCAAAATGTAGATGCGTTGTCACCCGTGAGGACTAAGATGGAATGCCTCATTTCCAGTAAAAAGGGCCTCCGGCCACCTGCACTCACCAAGCGAAACGCAGAGGTAAACCTCTACTTCACGCTGGTTTTCTGTGAGGTCGTGGTACCACCCCGGTTCGTGCCGGCCCATCCGTGCAGCAAAAGCTGCCGTGTGGCTCTACCACTGTTAAAGTTCATTTAATTCGTTTTGTATGGATAAATCATGTGGGTATGATCACTTTATTTTACCTGCCCTAACAACATAATATATCAGGGAAAAAGTTTCTTCGTATTTTGTTTGTATAAAAAATATCTTTCTTTGTACTGGTTGTATCTGGCTGGTTTTAATATCAATACATATAGGACATTAAGAAAAAGTAAAATAAAAAAACACTTTCCCGCCATTTTTCAATTGTTTTTCTATCCGCCAATATGAATGAATCTAACAAATAGATATTGGGAGCACTAAGCTCGAAGTTGTTGACGAGTATGTTTACCTGGGACAAATAGTCCGACTAGGTACGTCCAACTTCGACCGAGAGGTCAATCGACGGATTAAATTATTAAAGTGGCAGTGGGCCGGCCATATAGCTCGAAGAACCGACAACCGATGGGGAAGAAAGGTTCTCGAGTAGCAGCCTCGTACCGGTAGGCGAAGTGTAGGGCGACCCCCCACGAGATGGTAGTGACGACCTGGTAAGACATGCAGAAAGTCGATGGATGCAGGTGGCTCAGGACCGTGCTTTGTGGCATTCCTTGGGGGAGGCCTATGTTCAGCAGTAGACTTATGAAAGGCTGTAATGATGATGATGATGATGATATACAATAGGGTGGTCCTCAATTTTTTTAATACGTGGTAGAGCCATACTGCAGCTATATTAGTAGTATAGTTGTAGCACGAATGGGTCGGTTCGACTGGGGAAGGACCACGCTCTCACAGAATACCAGCGTAAAATAGCAGCTTAATGCTGCTGTGTTTCGTATAGTGAGTGTAGAGTACCGGAGACCCTTTTTACAGGAAAAGAGGCGTTCCATCTTAGTCGTCACGGGCGACAATGCATCTGCATATTGATTCGCAAACGAAGATAGATGTAGATGTCTATGGGCCACAGCAACCACTTACCATCAGGTGACTGTGTCCTCATTTGTCACCCTATCCTATAAAAAAAATTTTAATTATCATCAAGGCACTTTGTCATTTGATTATATACATCTAAATATGAAACAGATTATTTTCTTTTAATTTTTCTATACAATTTAGAGGTCGCTACCAGTCGTCAAACTTTAACAAAAAGCATTGTATGACTGCTTAATTGAGTGTTTTACTAATTGTTCTTTTTGAGTTTATTTAGCATTTTAGCTGCAAGTGAAACATGCAAAGACTAGCACAGGCATCCTCCCCCCCCCCCCCTGCTCCCCTTGACTCCTCTCCTTCACCTACGTGTCGAGATTTAACCTTTTTTTTTTAAATATGTTGTCAGCTGTAGTCAATCTATCTCTAGCCCTTTTCTAGTAGCCTTAATATTCAATAGGATTAAGATAGATTGGAACACATTGACCAAAGTGACAACAAAACAATAACTGATAATGCCGATGCAAACATCCTTGCTGAAGTGGCCATATACAGGATTTCGTTTGCAGAAAAATGACTACAAGTCAACTTCGAGATGACTATAGAGAATTGTTGAATCTCACAATATCTTTCTTAGGAGTTCCTGAAAAAGTTGTAAAGGTAGATGGATGGCAAGAGCCTTGAACTGCTTGAAAATTTACTTATTGAAACTAACGAAGAAGGACGAGTAGGATGTGTGAGAAAGATGCATTTTAACGGAGATAATTTATTTATTTATTTATTTCTCACCACAAATATATAATCACCACAAATACATAATAATCTTTATGAGATATTGGTTTCAAGCTTCTTCCGAATGGTCAGCACCAAGAAACAATCTACAATTATTTAAAGACATTAAGGCCTTTGAAAGCATAAATAAATTTTTTTGCTACTGCTACTGTTGCACTGAAAAAATACTAGGTCACTTGTGGTATTTGTCAGAAGTGCTGGTTTCAAACTAAAAATTTAAGGTACATACAATTGCTAACAAAGATTAAACATTGATTTCGCACATATCCACGAAAAAAAAATAGAATACCTTGTGAGTAGCAACTCCTTTTTCCATTTCCAGATTTTTCCAGATCCTAGGTATCTCAACAGATTTTTTGGCGAAAGATATACTACTAGAAACTTGAAATTGAAACAAAGACTGATTACCAAGCTGCCAAAAAATTGTTCATTCTATGTGAGTAGTGAATAACATAGCCGAGCGTGATGTAGCTTTAATGGATGAATATAATAAATTGATTACAACCAATGAAGGACAAAAGCAGCGTTTGCTTTTATTGGTGAAAGAGTATAAGAATAAATACCCTAATACTAATAAATCAACCATAGTTTCTTAAAAATAAATGATTCAAATATTACATGTGTCTTCATTTGTAATAATAACAATAGTTTTGTATTTCATATGTTCAGACTTATGAATTAAAGAATGTAACTAATGTAGATATTAGGAGCTTTTATTTAAAATTCAACTCATAAATATCATTTAAAAATACAAATAAAAATTCTGAAATAGTTTCTTATGGTATATAATCAAATTATGTGGTGCCATAAGAAAATTAAAAAAAAAATTCTTAGCAATAAGGACCACCCTAATATACAAGCTTGCATTTTAGGAAACAAAAGATATTTTATTTTTAGGAGAACTTCATTGTATAGGACAATAACTGTGATTGTAGTTTAAAAAAAACTATTATAATGCTTTCAATAAGTACATACCTTGTAATCTTCTAAAAATGGGCTCAAACTGTCACAGGGCATCAAGGATGATGTTGAAGATGCATACCATGCAACATGAGCTCTAGAAGTAGGCGTAACACTCAGCACTCTACCTGGCCACCAAGGGAATCCAACCACTTTTCCCCAAACTATATCACCAGGGGAAACACGCAATAGCCTTCCACCTATGCTTTCAGTAGTATTTGCAGGAAAGTCTGGCACTGTTTCACTTTCCCAATCATCGGAAACATCAGTTTCCTGTTCATTACGTTTTTCATAAGAGTTACAACTTAGCCTTCTTAGGCTGATTGAAAGCTTTTGCTTTAGACAGTGTTCCTTTATATTGCTAAAGTAGTCCGTACCATCACCATCACTTTTACTGCTATTCTCATCTCGTTTTTTGGTCACTTTATGTTTCTTCTTGTGTTTCATTTTGTGCCTATGTTTTTTTTCTAAAGGATCAATAGGTGGGTTATCAGACATGTTATTATGCGGCGACAATGCACCAATGTGTTTAGGAGATTGATCATGCAATTCCTCCTCTTTTTCTGTTACATTATTCTTTTTTGCTTGCTTTTTAGCTTTCTTGAGGGCTTTTTTCACAGCTTTAGAATCAGGTTTAGGCGGTTTCCTCATATCGCAAGACACACCTGAATCTTCATTGTAGTCTCCAGTCAGGGGCGGAATTTTAACCACTGTGCCCTCACCCTCTCCAAAGCAGATTTTTAATGTTCGTGCACTTGAAAACAACGAATTAAATGACACATCATTGTCTTCCTTAGCATCACTTTCATCACAGATATTGCCATCGGACACACTAACAAATGCCAGTTCACGCGTTGTTTTTTCACTCTCGTTTGATTTTTCACTTTTAACGGTTCTCATTTTCTTTTCATTCGTGTTTGTCGACTTCATGGCACTGACGTCATTTGTCTGGAGCCTTGACAATTTAGGTATAAGCATACTGCTGCTGCTCATTAGACGCTTGTTTTCAACTTTTGAAGCTGCAGAACTATCCTGAGGAGTGTCGTCATCGCAATCTAGTTTGCGTTTCTTAGACACGTCTACGTTTTCATTGTTCTCATTACAAATGCCCTGGCAATTTGAGCATAAAACTTTCCTGGGTCTAAGTCTGACTGTCATCCTTTGTCTAGGCTGGGGTTTGCCTTTGGAACCCAATTTGTTCGGTTTTTGAGTGCCTTCATCAGCGTATTGGTGTTCTTGATACGTAAACCTCTGACTAACGGAATGTAGTTTATCATCTATCTTAACGGCAGTTTCAGTCTCTTTACTAAAAGCTGGATGAAGGCTATATACTCCAAATGGTAAATTACTGTAAAATAATGAAGAATTATACAGAAACTTTACGAATTGTTCTAATAATCGATAATGGCATTTCTTAAGGAATATTCTAATACCAACCCTTTACTGGAGTCTAGGAGCACCCCTTGAAATTTTTTATCCTCAGTACAATACGATACAACAAGTAAATCAACTAGTGCTTCTTCCACATTCACTACAATTTGAGAATTCTTTTGAATCGTCATATCGGCTGGTGAAACGACAGCCGCCATATTTTTTTTTGAGTCATAGACTTTTTTGTTGTTACAATTCGCCAATTAAGGAAGGGAAAAGTTTTAGACCATACAGCCTAAGAATCATAGATCTAAAGTTCGTTGTGTAGATTATAGATTTCGTCTCAGAACGTAGATAAAGGATTGACTAGATAAAGCATTCGCGTATGCTTTTGAGATAGAAATAGGCGGGAGGTACTTTCACTGGGTTACCAGATATTGTTCCATTTCCCCCGTTGTGGGTATATTTATATTCACAGCACTTACATTCATACAAAAAACTTAATTGTTACCATAAAAAAATGTTCTTTTATAATTCAGATGATTAATTAATTTCTCTTGAAAATACATTCTGTGACAAAAACTACGGGCGGAAACGGTGTAAAAACAGAATCATCATTCTGTATTCAACGGGGCATCGACAGATTTTACAGGACATTCAATAAACTCTTTGGATTTCGACGGCACTAAGTGAAGGCGCTAATAGCACAAAGTGTGATATCGCTAATAAATAACAATATGTTATGTATGTACTTAAATATTAATTGAGAATAAAAATATAAAATAATTAACAAAAATTTCCTTGTGTCGAGTTTTGTACATACCATTTCATCAAAAGTTCAGTGCTGAACACAGACCTTCGAAAGGTAAGGGTTTCCACTTAGGTTTTGTAGTACAAAACACGGTTATGAGCCTACTCCCGCGATTTCCTGCATGTTTTGCTAAGTTAGTGTCTTGTGTGCGGCAAGTTGTGGCGTACAAGAGAATTAGTCTGTACACGGGATGATATTACCCCGCGTCGTAAGCAATAATACAAGATGGGGATGGGGCAGCAGCACTTTTCCGATGAAAACTTAAAATAATAAAAAACTGCGGTGGCCAACCAGCATAACGCATATTTTCACGCAGGCGTGGCAACTATGGCAAGTCATCCTATGAGGATATCTATGGAAGGCCTTTTTTAGGTGACTTACTTATGGTTAGGTGGCTTAATCATGTTACCTAATGGTTAAGGTGTTAAAATGTTTTAGTTAATATACGTTGTAAAGTATCAACAAAGGGTTTTTTTTTTTGTAATATGTTGGTATATAAAATAAAAACGATTGTTTTATAATATTCTATTTTAATTTAATATGCAGTGTAAGATTATCTCATATCATTCCATGGGTGGTGTATGAGGCGACATAGGGAAACATCAAAGAAGATAAACAGCAGCATTGTCGTGACAACAGCTAAATAATGGTTGACAACCCGCTTTCCAAGCGTTGAAACTATGCCAAATAACTATAATCATGTTTATGTTCAACATTGGACTTTTGATAGACTGTAAAAATATATATTCTATTTAAATGAAAATAAGTATATTGAAATTCAAAAAGGAAAAAGAACTAAATTTTGCGTACTTACACAACTTTTAGAAATATTAACAATGTTACATTACTTAAAACAAATGAAAACACATTTATATATGAAATATAATTCAATAAAATTAAAATAAACAAACGATTATTTATTAATTTTTCATCACATTAATAAACAACAAATTTAACAAAATGTTTGTCTTCTTTCTAGAGCATTCGTTGTAATTCTTGGTTTGAGTAGCCTTAGAATTTCTCAAAAATATGCATTTGTAAACTTGACTTATACTTTTGCATGGCAGAAATTCTTGGGTGCTGGTCGTTTGAATCAGATTAGAAGGGAGAATATATATATACAGGGTATTTTTGGAACGCTCCCGAAAACTAAGACAGGCGACAGCACCAAGTATACCTTTGATCATGGGTTACAAATAAAGTCGATCCTGATGAAAAAAAAATCATCTTTTAACAACGTTTTATTAGCTTTATTCACGCGCCATCATGTTAGTACAGCTAAATGAAACGATAATTTCATAAAAAATATCATGAAAATACTGAAACATAAAACCAGCAGTGGAAACTGAATTGATATCACCTGACTAATGGAGGTTAATGTACGCGCGAACGGTGAAAAACAAACGCTGGCCTTGAACTTGGGCACTGAGCGATTTATCACATATTGGTACGAAAGGCGCGCGACGGGGGAACAATCCGCCAGTATTAGTGTGCCTGCATGCTATTGGTTCCCGCGCTTTGTTCGCTCCAAAAATACAGTCGCATACACAGCTTACTTTGCGACTCGCGACGATGTTTTAAAAAGGAAGGAAAGAAAAATTATTTATATCTATTGTTTTATGACTAAACTAGTGATCGAAAAGGTAAATATGATAGAAGGTGAATGGGGAAAATTGTGCAGTAAAGTTAAAAGTGTGGAGGAAGAATACCGAAAAAATTACCATGTGATCGACTTAATGACGGAAGCTCAAGCGAAGATGAAAGTGATGATGAAGTAGCATCCAGTAACACCAACACACCATTAACATCTGGCTTCCATGTGACCCAAGACGTCATAATGGACGGCGTGTTACCCTTAGCTAAAGTTTTCTTGTTACAAACTACTTTATATTTTACGATAGAAATAACAAATAATGCTCATGTAAACATTATCCATTTTTAATTCCCACCTCTTCCAAAGTTCTAAGTAGCTAGTAAAACACCTATTATGATTCTACATTAAAACAATTAATTACTATAATATTATAAAACAATAGCCCAATACCATGTAGTACTTTAGAACGCGACTGTATCCACACCCCCTCCGCTATCGACCTGTATCTAGCTCGGTACGAAACAATGCTGCGGTCGTAAGAAAAAAGGGCGCATCTAACAATTTATGAATAAATGAGTTAAATATACCATTCGATTCATGATAAGAAGGCGCATCTACTAAATTTTTTTAATATTCACAAATATCAATATTTTAGAAATTATCGTAAGAATTTTAGACGTAACTGTTGATCACAGATGACTTTTTTTAGTAGAAAAGACTTATACAAATTCAACATAAAAGAAAAGACTTATTTAACCAGTTGCTACGTCATCTTTAACAATATTTGCATCGATTACTTAAATTTCAATTATTCTTGGTTTTGTCTTATTATTCTATATCTTATTATTAAGAGCTTATATCTTATTGTTAAGGGCTGGTGTTTCACATGTGGTCCCATATAAATTTGATCGAGGTCAGACCAATAGTTTTTGAGTTATCCTTAATTATTTATATTAAAGTCGGTTGTACAAAATTTTTAATTTTTAATTATTATCGTAGTAAGTCTTGTATGATATCCCCTTTAAAATCATTACTCAAGAGTTGCGGGTTGTTATTTTTTGTGTCTCACTACCAATGCTTTTCTAATATTTATTAAAAAAAAAAAGTAGTAAATTACTATTAGCGTCCTTTCAACTTCAAATGACCTTTCCAAAATATGTAAAATTGTTAAATGAATGGCAGTTTTTTTTTAATTTATTAGGTCGGAAAGACGCAAACGGTTATATGCGTCTTTCCTTCGATGTTTTTGTGTTGCCAGGTGTATTTTTTAAGCTAAGATGAAAAGAAAAATTCGTTTTATTTAAATAAATAAACAAATTATCAAAAAATTTGTTCGTCCTTAAAATATTCATGTCTCTACGTATATATTTCAATTTTTATATAGATACCTTTTAATATACTTTAGACACAGGGTCTGAAAGAAAAATTCATCAATTTATTTTTTATTTCCATTTTACGTTTTTGTTAGTTGCGTCCTTCTTTATGTAACCCGACGACGGCAGAATGTAACCCGGCCGGCTCGTGTCGCCTCACGCTGTGACGCAGTAGACAAAGAGTATAATAACTGTCCTAGCAGTAGGTTTCAGTTTTGTTGGGGTTCGTTATTAATTGTAGTTTTTGAAACAGTTCCGTGTTGATTTTGTACACGCGTGCGCGAGCGACAGCTCAATCGTATTGTTATTACTTGTGATTACGTGTTGGTATTATTCCTGTTGTTACGTTTTTTGTTTTAATAATGCTTAACCGTTAACGCGTACTTTTATTGTGATTGTGAATACAGCAACATGTTATCCGAACCCAGGTACACGAAGTATCGCCAAATAAATTGTTAAGACGTCGGGATGGAACAATTGTGTCATACTGTGCAGTGCACAAAGTGTTGAAGCGTAACCGAATGCGCCCATACAAATTGCACAAAGTGCAAGCTTTAGTTCCCGGCGATCACGTCCGCCGACGAGTTTTCTGCCGTTGGTTATTATACCAGCGACAATGTGTGCCTGGTTCCATTGAGCACATTATCTGGACGGATGAGTCGACATTTACCAGAAACGGCCTGTGGAACCGAAGAAATACACACGTGTATTCAGAGGTTAACCCGCACGCTGTTCGACAAACCGGGCACCAAACCCGATGGTCGGTTAACGTATGGGCAGGTTTATTTAAGGATCGCATACTGGGACCAGTGTTTCTGCCACAGCGACTGAACAGACAGCGATACCATGTCGTGAGGTTCGTCCGTGAGCGCCTCAATGAGCTATTTGATGATCGCTGGATCGGCAGACTTGGCCACCTCGCTCACCAGATCTGACCCCGTTAGACTTCTTTTTGGTATGTGAAAGAAAGGGTTTTTAATCGTGAGTGTGATAGTGCTGACAAATGCGCCAAAGGATCGTGGATGCTTTCGAGAAACTATGTACGGACTGTGTCGAAGACCACACGATGATGATGCGCCGCCTGCACCCAAATCTACCTTGAAATGAATGGAGCACAATTTGAGCTGCATCTCATAAGACCACGGAGGATTTAGAGCGGTAAGCTGTTTCATAACTATTTTTTTTAAATAACTTAGTACTGAACTAATCTGAATAGGTACATAACTGAATACATGAGAATAATAAACATACCTACACGATGAATAAAAACGCATGACTCCAACCTTGGTTACATTTCATTTAAGTATTTTTTCATTAGCGTATGTAGTGGTATGGCCCGCTAGTTGCGGGCCGCGTGAATTTGCGTTCGCGAGTACATTGACCTTTAGTCAGGTGATACAATTCAGTCATTCCACTGCTGGTTTTATGTTTCAGTATTTT